ATTTATTTATTTATTTATTTATTTATTTATTTATTCAATCATTTAATAACTAATCATACATCGTGAGTAAGCACATCTTCATTGCCTCTGAATAACTTCCGTTATTCTTCGAATAATTCTTATCTTCAGCTTCCTTTTCGAATCTTTTCTCGGTTAATAATTCAGCGATCAAATGTACTAACAAACAGAAAGAGTTTCACCATTGTTACTCCTTCATTCGTGGAAATGTTACTTATTTCCTTTATTTGGTGATTTAATTTTACTGCTCAATTTAGATTTTCAACATTTATTCGTCGATTGAATGTATTTTCATGAAAACGATTCGACGACGACGGATATCCGGCAATAATAGCGATACTGGCTGGTTGATTGCTTCTGCGTTTGTTCTTATCAGCGATCATTCTTCTCGCAACACGAATACTAAATCGCTGTTGGCATTTATTCATTTGTGAACATGGAAAAGGAATACTTTTCAGTGTTTTGGCCATAAAATTAACCTAAACTGATTCCGACAGGTCGACCAATGCTTTCGCATTATCAATTCTTAATCCTGTTCATTTGCGTGTTTTAAGGTACGTTATCTATGTGTGTGCAGCATCATCGTGGTGCTTTGCGTTTTTCGTTGGTCTATCGTTATGAAGGCACCCACGAGCAAATAGAAGGCAACATATCGCAGATTCAAGCGACCTTTCGGTATGTAGCTCTGTTTGATTTTTAACCTGATATCTGGTATCTCCTTTGGATGCTCAGTCCATGAGTCTCTTTTATTTTCATTTTTTCAAGAATCGGCTCTCGGTAATCTTGTATTTAAGGTCATTTCGTTTCGTGCACATTCGCAGTTGGGGGCAGAGTTTGGGGAACGACCGGAACTGGTTCAGGTACAGCAAAAACCGGTTAAGGCACGACAGGTGAAGGCTGTGGTTGATTGTTGATGTACTATTGACTGCAGGTGGGCATACACACTGGGATGCAGATTCTCGGTCGTGATACGGCAGGACTTGGAGTAACTGGGACTGGCATAGGTTGGGGAATGACTGGAACTGGTTCAGATGGGTTGGCGATGCATTGTGATTTACAAGATGGCATGCAAACTTCAACACAAATTGCATTTCCGGAAATGTCGCCCGTTACTCTATTATTCTACCCAATTATCTGATATGATTTTGATTGAGCATCAGTAATCCCATCAGTAATCTATTGATGCATGATGATTCTGCTGCTGAATTTGATATTGCTGAAACAAACTGTACATTTTACACCGCTCGAGTTACAATATAAGTATAAATGTAATAAATTATTTAAATCGAATCTTCTTCGATGAGGCTGATGATTTGCTCTCTGTAGTAATAGATTTCATTAACAGATTGAAGACTTTGCTTCCATATTATCCAAACCAACAATTTCTGAGTATATCAATATGCTAAAGGGCTGAAACAAAGTGAAGTGAAGCATGAGCGATTTTTGACAAGGGCAGTGATAGCTATTGACGCAAATAAACGACCATCCAAATACCTGAATTGAAACGATGCTAAGTAGATTAGTCAATATGGAGAGAACGATAAGAGTTGTGTTCATCTCGGCAAGAATGATTTGGTATCGGACGATGTCGATATTGGATGATACAATCTTTGTGATTTATGTGGAGAATTGGAGTGGCCAGTTTGATGTTATTCTAATAAAATGCATAAACAATGTTTGGCTTAAACAAGATTTCGTGAAGATGATGATACGTTGCTAAAAAAGATGCACTGGATATTCGAGACTCTTGGTTTGGTCAGTTCACATTCCATCGGTCATTTTTTCACTGTTCATTCCGCACAAAATGCAAAGCTGGCAGATTGACTAATGTGCATTATTGACAAAATTTTACAGTTGACGAAATTTTCACTGTATTGTTTTCTGTTCGCAAGTGTGCTTTCGAAAGTTGCTGAGGTGAGAATGCCTAACAATAAGGAGTGATTTTATTCCTACAATATTTGCATTCTTTAAAATTCACTAGATCACGCAAATGTGTAGAGTTCATTTACAACTGTCTAACAATAAGGCCTAGCGATGGCGAATACCATCATGGTGCTAACAAGACGTGAACTTCACGGTCATTTGCCCAGCAACACCGTTATTTCTTGTTACCATTTGATTCAGGAGATTCTCACTATTCAGATTATTACATATATTTTGTTGACGGGTTTTGCTTAAGCCTAGGAAACCTGAGAGGAGCGATTGCTTGAAGATGGTGATAATCATATGCCAAGCAAATGTTCAGGTAACGGGCATTGAAGTGAAGGCCGCCGAGCTAGGTGAGATACATTCTAAAATTCGGCCAATTTTTCTGAATTTTTTCTGAATACTCACAATATTTATATTTTCTGAATCTAGAGAATCTGTATGATACAATGGTTTCAAGAATGCATAATATCCCTCGGCGAACCTGAGGATCGTGTTACTTTGAATGCAGTATACAGATTGATCAATACAACGTATCAAAATGAACAACATCTTCAGAAAATTAGCTGTTTCTCTGAAACTAATCAAAATCTTCCAGCCATGTCTATGTGTTCATGAAACCAGAGAATCTGCGGATCTCAATAGTTCTTATATATTTTGTTCTCATGCAAACGTGAAGATAGACTTTGCTTTCATATGATGCACCATGTGATGCGGTATCTTTCCTCATTTCCAAGCAATCTTACGTGTGGAATGTTGATGATTATAGTAATGCGATGTTTCATATGATTGGTTTGACTTTCTTTATCGTTGTTCATTTGCATTATCTCCTCAGAGAAGAGTTTTCTTTATCCCCAGAGATTTCTCTTCATTATTGCGCTGATCTTTAGTTTTGCATTGCTCATTGCTTGGCGGGTGTTTTGTTCGTTTGAATTTCTTTCATTCCTATATGTGGTTGATCAGCTGTTTGCTAGTGAGTTGGATG